CAGGGACGATAAGGAAAACGTTCGCCGAAAATTACGTTGATGGTTCCTGCAACATTTTTGACGAAAGCTTGACTGCTAGTTAGTCAATCCTGACCTGCTACGTTTTAGATGGGAACTTTGAGGGTGCTATCCATTATGCCAGACTGACGGGTCAGAGACCAGTGGGACAAACCAAAAAAAAGTGAAAAGACATTTTCCGATCGAACCGGCTGACCAAGAGGAATCGCTCTTACCATTTTCTTTTCCTGTTCACCATTTCCCCATATAAATCGGTTTGTCAAAATGGAACGGCAATTTCGGTCAGACCGGTCTGACCGATCAAATTGGACCCCCTCTAGAGGTGGTCCCAAATAAAATATTAATAGAAACAGCCAATGAAAGGGCAAGAAAACTGGCACCTCATGTAAAATTATTGAGCTCTCAAATTCACAAACGCGCAAAACAAATACAACACAACAAAGTTTGCTTAAGAAGAATAACGTAACAGTCAGCGCCTGTCAGCGCGCACTTGTTTGATCGACAAACCGATCATAGTTGTTTTGTTGAATCGCTTCTGATGACAGGTCGCGAATATTTCGTGCGTATTTTTGGTGGCTTACACGAAGTGTATAGCCACATTGTAACATGATCTGATTTATTTATTACATTTTGTCGTGATTAACTGACTTTTATCATTCGATTCATTTTTTTCTTCCTTCTCGCTGACCGAGAGCCCACCACGTGACCTGCAAATGACTGCCTACGAATAATAGTCTGCTCATGTGTAATACCGTCTAAATGTGCTTTGCTGCTAATGACATTCTGCTCAACTGTAATTATGACCACGCTCTTGTGTAAAAACTGGCGATCGTTTCCCTGAGCTCTCAGAGAGTGATTTAAATATGAAACTTGATGATCGGATGATAAGACAATTATTCAACTCTGCTATCGCAAAATATCGTGATTTGTCAGTGTCTTGCAGATCAATTATTTGTTTGCAAATAATTCTGTGATTCTTTGTTATCGCAAGAAACACGTTGATTCTTTCTGCATCCTCCGCATGTCCTCTCAGGAATCTTCGTGACTTGATGGTTGGCCCAAAACTGAGAATCTTTACAAGATACATATCCAATCTAGTGAGTCCAGACCTTGTAGACTCTTTTAGAGCACTGATCAAGCGCTCCTGTCTGTTTCAACCTTGGCCTATACTGGACATAATACTAGAACCGTTGAACTTTGTTATTCTCTCTATCTATTCTATAGTAATACCATTCTAGTGTTGCATGTACTTAGTGCTTACTGTGTGTTCTGTTGTGCGTGTGTACCGACCTAAACTTGGATTAATATATTTATAAAGCTGGCTGAGAATGGAACTGTCATGCGGGGCTCTTGAACCGTTTTGACTGGCCTTCTTGCATGAGGCGGTCACGACGTCCCATGTGGA